AAAAAAAAAAAAACCCACTGGGTTTCCGAGGCTGTTAATCTTTTTGGAAGTAGATCGCCCCATCATCCTTCCATGGAGCAGCTGGTGGCTTGAACCGCTAACCTTCTGGTTAGCAGCCCAGTGCCTTATCCACTATGCCACCAGAGCTCCTTTTACAGACTGACATAGGTATTTTAATTTGTCATCACTTTTAATTTATTCAGCCTTTACTTATGAAACATGATAGGTCTCTGAAAGCAAAACAATTCACCTTCTTTCTTTTATATGCAAAGCTTATTATTTAAATTTACAAAGATTTCTTTCAAGGTTACTTAAGTAAGTTGATTAATATTCAATAAATGTTACTGAAATAAAAAACCATTAAACAATATTCACAAAAATTTTTAAAGTTTTCTCTAATATTGTATATATACTTTAATAAAAACCTATTGAAAAGGTTTAGAGATCTGAAGTATATAAAACTAAATACACAAATCAAGATTTTGGAAAGTAGCATAAGCCACATACTATAAAAGGGACTATGAAAAAAAAGGGGGACCAGGTTTGCTGGTCTGATAGAGCCTGGTGGAACCACTGAGACTATGGCCTCTAGCTGCCCTTCAGGTCCGGAATTGAACCCACACCTGTGGCTTCCAACCAAACAAAATACAAGCATATGAGTTGAACATTTACCTGAGGTAGATACACTCCTTGGAGAGAACAATCATGGGATAAAAAAGGGCTGTTTATGCACATGAAGACAGCTCAGGGGGCAGGAGTGCATGGATGGTAGACACAGGAAGAGGTAAATATCAGGAGGAAGTGGGAGGGGAACTGTTGCATTGTGGTAAATTGTGGTCAACGTCATGAGACAAAGTGTATGTGAACTGCCGTATGGAAAGTGAATTTGCTCTGTAAATTTTCACCCAAATCACAATTTAAAAAAACTGGGGGGACTATGAAATTTCATCCACAAAGGAACATCTTATTAACAAGTGATGGAGTTTAAAAAAAAAAAAAAAAATTGAAGTTTTTAATTCTCTAGTAAGAATAAAACAACTTTTCTTTTTGTGCCTTTAAAATTGAAAAATCCTACTTTTGCTGTTACTTTTATCAAACACAATATACAGAAGTGTAATCCAAAACAGCTATTAAGTAGGCAACATTTTTTAAAGTTATTTGTTCACGTCCTATACCTGGAAACCTGTTTCAGCAAAAGAGATCTCTCATTTTGCTTTTTGGATCCTTAGAAGAGAACACAGTCACTACGGTACAGTGCAACAATGATAGCTGCTAGCATCTGATCATGATACAAAAAAAACATGATGATAATATCCAATACAGAGGGGAAGTCACCCTCCAAAAAAGTGTCCTTGAGGTCAAGAACAGAAAGACCTTCTAATGTGGAGCATCTGCTGCAGTAGTAAAAAACCAAACTCACTGCCATCGAGCAGATTCCAACTCATAGCTACCCTTTAGGGACAGAGCAGAACTGCTCCATATGGTTTCCAAGGCAATAAATCTTTACAGAAGCAGACTGTCACATCTTTCTCCCACAGAGGAGCTGGAGGGTTCAAACCCCTGGCCAATTGGTTAGCAGCTGAATACCCTAACCACTTCAACACCAGAGCTCCTCTTTTGCTGTAGTAGTGATACATTAATTCATAAGTACCTTAATTTGGCAAAGAGTGAGGGAGATGTTGATTTAGATGTAATTACACAAGAACCTTTTTATCAACCAAGTCAATTACAACTATGTAGCATTCCTTTATTAGATATTACTTTTCTTTCAAAAGTTATTACCTTGTCTTACCATAGAGAGGTACATGGGAGGTACAGAAAACAAACATGAACCCTTTTGTACATACAGTACTGCCTTGTCAGTAAAGGCTAACATGGGTATATGGGTGGATAGACGGATGGACAGGTTGAACGATTAGGTGTGTCTATGAAATGGGGAGTATATTCAAGAACATATATAGGGTTGGCAGACAATGGTCCTGTAAGTTTATGTGAATGATCAGAATTCCCAGGTGTATAGTAGAATTGACAAGGGGAAGGTTGTGGTCACTGCTTGGTCACAGCCAGCTACCCAGAGGGACTGAGTAGTTGAACCTGTGGGCTTGGGACCATAGTGGCAGGGGACATCAAGCTCAACTGGCCTAACATACTGTACAAAACATTGTTCCACCTCCTACTTTGGTGAGTAGCGACTGAGATCTTAAAAGCTAGCAAGCTGCCATCTAGATGCAACAACGATGGGTCTCTCCTTGTCCAGAGCAAAGAAGAATGAAGAAAACCAAAATTCATGGAAACAATTAGTCCTAGCGACTGGTACACCATCCTATCTGCAGCCTATACAACTATGAGACCAGAAGAACTAGATGGTGCCCGGCTACCACTGTCATCCACTTGGAAGGGGATCTATGTAGGAGATCCTTGACAGAGAGGGAGGAACAATGTGGAACAAAACTCACAATCATTTGGAGAAAAAAAAAGGGGGGGGAGGACCACGTTTGCTGGTCTGATAGAGCCTGGTGGGACCACTGAGACTGTGGCTCCTAGCTGCCCTTCAGGTCTCAAATTGAACCCACACCTGTGGTTTCCAACCAAACAAAAGACAGGCATATGAGTTGAACATTTACCTCAAGTAGCTACACTCCTTGGAGAGAACAATCATGGGAGAAAGAAGGGCTGCTTATGCACAGGGAGATAGCTCAGGGGGCAGGAGTGCATGGAGGGATGGACACAGGGAAGAGGTAACTATGGGGAGGGAGTGGAAGGGGAGCTGTTGTATTGTGGTAAACTGTGGTCAATGTCATGAGACAAAGTATATGTGAACTGCTGTATGGAAAGTGAATTTGCTCTGTAAACCTTCACCCAAATCACAATTAAAAAAAAAAAAGTTATTGTCTTAAAATGCTGAAACATTTTCATCTTAACGCTGTCACATGTTACTTAAACATCTGCTAAGGATTTTTTAAGGAATCAAAGTTTAAACATGCATAGAATGCTAATTTAGAAAAAGTGGGAAATAATATTATAGAACAAAAAGAGCCATAACACAAATATATATTTTTAAATAATTATTAAAGAATATGTTAAAATACTTTTCATTCTTTACAGTTAAGTCTAACTATATGTCCTTCATCCAAATTTCCAAGTAAAGGCAAAATTAGTTAATGAATAAAAGAAGCAGGCAAAGGCATATCTGTCACCGATATCTGGCACAATCAGCACAAAAAAATACAGATATGAGTGCAACAACTAAAAGACTGAATAAAGAGAAGAAATGAAGGTTGCTCACAAGATCACTTTCTGTTTAGCTCATAACTGGAACGATTCTTAAACACAGCAAAATTGCCAAACTTGCCTCAAGTTTAGGAAAGGGAAACTTCCCATCTGTCTCCCTTTCCTAAATAAACTGAGGAACACTGTTTATTAGTTCTAAATTATCTACCTCATCACATCTTCGACGGCATACCACAACAACAACAACATCATATCTTACTTATTATTCCCAAATGTCAATGAAAATTTACCCTTATCTTTCAAAACTTCACATCTCTTAAGATAATGAAAGAAAAATATAGTAATTTAATAAACAGAGAAAGAAAGTTAAAAGCATGGGACCATCTAAAGCAAGTACAATGATTATTCCAGTGATACCAGGTAACATTTTCATGAAAAAAAGAAATTCCCAAAAGGAGATAACAATTTTTTTTTAATTAAAAAGGAGAAGGGTGAAAAGGAACAAAAGTGGACCTTAAATACTGTTAGCTTTAATTAATATTTAAGTTATTATTAAATTTATGGTATTTTCATTCCAAATATATTCCCTCAAAGTTGACCTTATAAAAATATAAGGAATATAAAGAAATTTTATTTTTAACTTGCAAAATCAATGCACTAGAAAGTTAAAAAACTAAATTGTATTTGATTTCTTCGAAGGTACTGTACACTTAAAGTCCATGTTTTTGTTATAATATCAACCATTAACTCTTCAAAATACCATTAAAATAAAATATAGAGATAAGATAATGAAATGACAAACATTTCTAGATTTCCACTGCTTTTCTGTCAAGTTCTTTTTTAAATAAAACTGAATGGAAAGTGGAATTCAATCTCTTTATACCTATTAAGATCAATGAGAATGGGAAAAATGAAAAATCTATGTTTCCATCCTGAGAGCCAGAATGTTTCTCATTAAGGAGCAGGCTTTGAAGCTCCTTTCTTTTTGACTTAATGGTCTTTAACCTTTAAGGGATAAATATCTCCCTTTGAAAAGATTATTTTCCTTAGAATTATGAATTTGATCATTCTAAGTAAACAGAGACCTTATTTCAATTTTTATTGTAAATTATTTTACATATTAAAAATAAAAATCCTTCAGAGAATGTTTAAAGTAAAAATTTCTCAAGATAATTTTCCTTTCTAGGTAAGATACACCATTTCAGAAGTTTGTTCCAAAGAATCTCACCACAATCTCAATTATCAAAATTTTCACTCCTTCCAATGGATTTTTTTCATTCTTAGTATTAAATTTAGCCATTGAAATTTTAAGCTTTTAAAATGAGAAGCATTTTAAGCATATATTTTCTCTTACATATAAAAAACCAGAAGTTTATTAATTCTATAAAATGGTCTATGTTTGTTGTTTGTTGTTGTTAATGTTTTTTGCAAAGTTGACTCTTTCCTAGATAAATGCTTTTCACAAAATTTTAATTACAAAACACAATTTAACAAAAAAATTACATCATACAAGCATACTTCCACCTTGAAACAAAAGCCCTTTAGAGGCCTAGAATTTCAAAATCCATACAACTAAAAGGTTAGCTAGAGAAACCATAAGCGTAAGAACATACAAGCCAACAGAAGGGATCTATGAAGGATAATCACCTTAAGAGAAAAAACTTTGTGCAGATGACACTGGTTCAAATGCATTCCCTTGGGGAAAAAAAATCAACTCTGTAAAGATAGCAGATGGATTTGTTTAAATAGTAATAAAATTAACGAGGGACTTTAATAACCATCAAACCACAAATTACCAAGCATGCAACCATACTACAACAAAATAATGGCATTTTTTTGCCCATATAGCATGTTCGTCAGACACTGACATATGGAGATTTCAAGCTTTTAAATTCATAGGCATTTAGCTCTAGCGATATAGCACAGTATAGGAAACAATAGTTTTTACTTTCAGTTCAGCAAGAAAGTCAAAGAGCTTCCAAGGGCTTACCACTGGTGGATCAACAGGTGCTGGTGGTTGTACTTGTAGGTTTACCGCAACAGTCTGTGGAGGAGGAAGAGTCTGAAATGGCAACTGGACCAAAGCTTCTGCAGCTGGAAGCTCCTCTTCTGACACCAAGGCATTCTGCACCAAAACCTGGCCCTGGGACAGAATTTCAGGCTGCACTTGTAAAGATTGCATAGACTGCAAGGATAGTGGTGGAATCTGAGTTGGAGGAGATGTCGACATCTGTGGAGGGGTTGCAATAGGGATTGGAGAGGACTGCAGGGTTGAATATTGCTGGTGTGATGTTGGAGATACAATCTGCTGACCTTGGGACACCAAGGCAGACTGCTGAACTGGGCCAATGTGTACGACAGGGGAAGCTGGAAGTGGAAGATGGGATGACAGATTCAGCTGTGCTGTAGGCTGTACCTGATTAGTAGTGGACTGCTGCAAGTTTGGCCCTGGCTGGAGAGCTGATGACACAAGAGAGTGTGGCTGAATAAGTGCTTGTGGATGAATAATTATAGTAGGAGACTGACTTGGTGAATGAGGTGGTGGAGGAGACACTACTACAGACTGCTGTGCTGACTGTGACTGGCTAGGAGACATTGTTAAAGGAGGGGGATGACTCTGAATTGGTGAACAATGTTGTGACTGGGCATTACTGGGAGCTGGAGGAAGGCCGTGGTTTTGGAGTGGTATACAGTGTTGGGATGGGGGTGGGTCTTGAGTTGGATTTTGAAGTGTGATTGGCTGAATTTGCTGCTGCTGCTGTTGTAGTATCAGCTGATGGTGGGAAACCTTGGGAGGTGGTGAATGAAGAGGAATTTGTTGATGTTTTATTAGAGAATGAGGTTGAATTGGAGAATATGAAGCTGTGAGGGAAAAAAATGAAAATTAGTAATTATTTCCAAAAATCATTTAAAAATAAATCTAAAGGAGAAAAGTAAAGTTTTCACATCAAAAGGTCATAATCATCAGAAATCTATTATAAGTCTTCCAGACAAAAGTGATTTGAAAATTTAATGACAAATAGCTTTTCCTTGTAAAACTATAAAGATTTTATATGTTAAGCTGTACTGTGATAAGGTCCAAAAGAAAACATCATGAAACAACTGATTCATACATCTGAATGTACACATGATTTATTCTTCTTAAACTTTATTAAGTCTTCAGGATATCTGCAATAACCAGCAATTTTTACCCACTTGAATTTTTTCTTTGGATGGAAAGGGGAAGAGTATTACTGAGCAAACAAAGTATATGTAAGATAATTTCAGAATCATAAAACTGCTACACTAAAACTCATAAAGGTCTCATATTTTGGAATCTCTGTGTAAATGTGATTCCAACCAATAATTGAGGTAATTACTTATAAAGCTTTCCAAGTAAGTTCTCAAATGTGAGCTGAGATGAAGAGTTTGTATTATTTGAACCATAAGAGAAAATGTTTTATATAAAAGTTTAACTCTACAAATTAAGCAAACGTGTAAATCCTGTAGCACAGTTCCGCAATGATTTAGCACTTGACTACTAACCAGAAGGTCGGCAGTTCAAACCCACTAGCCACTCTTCAGAAGGAAGATCAGGGCAATCTACTTTCACAGTGATATTGCCTCGGAAACCCAAGGAGGGGTTGCTAAGAGTCAAAGTGGCCTCGATGGCAGTGAGTTTGTAACTAAGAACTTTAGGGATCATTCCAAATCTAGAAGTGGACTAGTTTTGCTTGCAGAGAGAATGAGGCAATCAGAAGTACATATTTTCTAAATTAAGGATCTTGTTTCCAACTTCTCCAAAAAAAAAAAACCTCCAGTAATCTAAGTGATGGTATCATTTTCTCCACAGAGAAACAGCTCACAACTGGGCTAGTACATGTAAGAATTAGCATAACCAAGTTGTTAGCCCCATCATTATGCCTCTTCTGCACACTGATATGTATGATTACAAGGAAGGAGATGCTGGTGAAATCCTATTTAAATAAGAATGGAAACTGCGGTCACTAGAAGATAAACTGAAATGACCACTTAATATTAAAATATGCACATTTAAGTATCATATAAAAATCACATGTGTAAAATAGATCTAAAGAAAGGGCAAGTTTTTTTTCTTAAACTCAAAATGTTAAAATAAAGGTTACAGTGCTTTTCATCTATTTTTATATTCATCCAGATTTTTGACAATAGCCTAGTATAAATTTCCAACTTTTTTTTTAACACTTTTGTATTTGGTTGGTATTATTTAAAACTTGGGGTATCCTTTAAAGAAATTAACATTTGATTAACATCTCTCAAGAAAAAGGCAGGCACTTCAAAGGTCTGACAGATACACATGTAACTGTAAAAAAAAAAAAAAGGAAATAAAATAATTTTCTTATATTAACTAGACTAATACTTCAAACTAAGACTGAAAATTTTATGTCAGGACTTTATAAATGTGTTGCTAGATAGTCTATATTGTACAGCATTCCAAAACAGGTGAATTAATAAAATCTTGGATTTCTATAAAGCGCTTTTTCTCCAAAGACCTTAAGGTGCTTTCACATTCCTTTCATCTCTCCTCACAAAAAGCCTGTCAAGTAGGTCAGTAAAATTATTCCCCTTTTACAGATAAGGAAATTAATTTCTGCAAGCCTAACAGCAAAGGCAGACTTAAATTCAATTTTTGAAAGTCAAATTATAATGAAAATTTACCATATTCCTGAAGTACAATGGAATTCGATTCAGTAGAATAACGATTCTTTCTGTGCTCTAGCAAGTAAGCAATCTTTCTATGTAATTGATAGATTAAATCTATCTTTTCACCTAAATTAAATTTTTCTTGCATCAGAGATCAACTAATTAGCAAATATATTACAGCATTATTTAAGGATATTTGAAAAATACCTCTGTACAAGAAAAGCCACAGTATTCACATCTCGTTTGTTAATTTTTCTAAATATTTAAAATGGCCTCTTATCTGGAGAATTAACGGTTAGCATCATCTCTCACACATATATATAGTTCATTATTGTTTACAATATGTATTATTTCATTCAATAGTTACAACACCCTATGAAGTACATAAGATATACACTAATCCAGAGTCACTAATCCAATATATTACAAGTGAAAAAACTCAACGTAGCTAAGTGGCTTGCCTGAAACAACCTGGTTATCAAGAGGCAGAACTGGATTGCAAAGAACTCATGATTATAATTGAGTCTAGGCCCTTTTCACTATACACTGAATTAATGTTTGCAGAAACACAGTACATACATTTTCCAATTAGATTGATAGCATAAAAGCTCTAAAAACTGCTATACACAAACAAAAAAAGAACTTCAGCACCAATAAAGCTCATGTTAATTTCCAGGGTTTTGGCTAAAGTTTCCCTTAAATTATATATTAAATATAGAATTATTAACTATCAAATGGGAACTCCACCTTCATGGAGAAATGATGAAGAAAACCAAGTGCTTTTAGTACCTTAGAAATAACATGTAAGGAAACAATAACCATGTTCATTGTAATCATTAGACTATACTACCCTGGGATGTAAGTAAATTTTTTGTATTTGAAAATGATCTGTAGGAACAAGCATTTTTTTAATTAGAGAAAAGGACAAATTACCAATTCTAGACTCTCTCAAAATATCTTAGCTTCTGATTAACTTCCAACTAATGAGAGCAGAAAAACTAAAAGGGTGAAAAAGATAGTTGTCACCTCACCAGAAGATATGAATTACTTTGAGTAACTATACTGTAAGGCTTAAACAAATATTTAAGTTTGGTAGCTGCAACAGTTCACGGACTTGAGGATCTTCTCTTTGATTTTATTACTAACACAGTGGAAACTGGAGTTTGGTTAATATGCACATAATCTAATATTTGGAATTGAAATTGACTTTCAAAGCCTGAGACTATTTGGTGGTTTTTGGCTCACTGGTCTCCATACCTACAAAAAATATTGGCCATCAGAGCAAGGCAAACTGTAATACTACTATCATGCTACTAATGTAAGGGAGAAAAATAAGTTGCAATTTGCAGGAATACTGCAAATCTGAAAGCAGATCTCCTTATCTGAACTAACCCTGAAAGAGCTTCCAGCTTTCTTTGAAGGTAGCATTGCCTTTGGAAAGAAATTAACCTATCCTTCATTATAATCTATCAAAGCTACAGGAATCACTAGAAATTGTCCCCTGAGCAATTATTCCAAGCACAGTGGTTCATGTTGCTCCACAATGACTCTTTCTGTCAACACTGGCTAGAAGCTGGTTTGAGGCTGAGAAAACCCTGGACAGTGCAATGCAAAAACCTAATTATCAAGCCATAGAAAGCAGATCCGGGCACACAGCTATTTATACAAAAGAATTTAAGCCTAACTTGAGTTGAGCGGATTTATTAATTTATGAATCATAACAATGCCTGCATTTATCTAGGATTCAGATTTCACAATTAGCAGAGCAATAATTTGTGTGAATTGGAAAGATTGTGAGGTAATTCCTAAAATCCAAATGGAAAAATAATCCTGAACTATTAATCCAATAAGTATTTCATCCTACCTATTGTATGTAAGTTAAAGGAGCTTTGATGGCTGGCACTGTAGTAAGGCATCGCCTGATGCCTTACCACTTAAAGGCATGACTTTTAACCAAAAGGTCAGTGGTTCGAATGCACCAGCTCCAAGGGAGAAGGATAAGGTAGTCTGCTTCCATAAAGATTTATAACCTTGGAAACCCTATGGGGGTCAATATAAGTAGGAATCGACTCAATGGCAGTGAGTTTGGTTACTGTATACAAGTAGACACAAGGCACAACTAAGTACTGTCAGGATGCAAGAATGAAAAGGTGACTGAAAAAGCACTAAATGAGTTAATATAAAGTGCTAAAATAGTGTCTGATACATACATAAATGCTCGATATTAATATCCTACTCTGATAGTCGGGGTTGTGTGTCAATTTGGCTGGATCATGATTCTGAGTGGTTTAACCAGTTGTGATGTGGTTGTTCCCAGTATGAGATCTGATGTATGTGCTCTGAGCAGCCAATCAGTTGAAAGAAGTTTCCGTAGGGGTGTGGCCTGCTTCCAAAGTGTAAAAGGACGTCCTAGGAAAATTCGGGAACCTTCTGTGGATTGGATTCTGTCATGCTGCCTACAACTGTCCTGTGAGCCAACAATCCACCATTTTGCCTGATCTTGGATTCATCATCCGCTTAAGTCAGCAGCCTGTTACAATGCCTGCCAATCTTGAGCTTGTCAGCACCTGCAGCTCCATAAGTCAGGAAAGCCTCCAATTTGAGGTTTGATAAAGGAATTTGGGACTTGCCAGCCTCTATAACTGTGTGAGCCACTTTCCTAAGATAAATTTCTCTCTCTCTGTATATATGTATGTGTATATATATATATGCATATATTTTAGCTCCTCTAGAGAACCCAACCTAAGATGTTTTATACCGAGAGTGGTTCCATAGAGGGAAAATCATAAGGGTGCACTTTCTAAATTGGTTCTGATACTGTGGTAAGTTGTCACTATCTCATGCAACTTACTTGTGCCTTTAGGTCCTGCTCGAGTCCAATCTCTTACATACCACTTCCATTTAATGATAGAGTGGTGCTGTGCACATCCAACTTTATGACCCCAGTTCATGATGGGCAGCCCTCACGGTGACTTGGTGGCCCATGATTAGGCGTTCAGTCTCTACTTACTTAGTAGAGACTGAACGTTAAGCACTACTGGGTCAGCCCAGATCACATGGCCCAAGTAGCAGAGCAGCTTGTACAGCAGCCTGAACCTGTCGTAAAGCCTTCTGCTGTTCTGGGCCCACTCAAAACTGGCAGCTTTTGACACACTTGGACTTAAGTCTAGTTATAAGTCTAGAAGCAAGACAGGGTGGTTGGGGTTCTTGAAAACATTCAACAATGTCTCGCATGGCATCTGTCTCCAGCAACAACTCAGCAGGAATAGTCAAGTTAATCTCATCAACCAGAGTTGGAAGGTATAATGGTTTTACAATAATCTCTTCAGACGGGAGGGACAGTGCTATTGGCAGGAGGGATTTTCAAAAGAATTTAGGGGCTCCATGTCCCCATCTTCCTGTCTGCCCATATGTCCCCATCCCAGGTTTCAGGATCCCATTTCTTTCCAATCAATGCCCTCACTTTAACTTCAGACACAATTCTGGATTGGCAATTCAACTGGTATTGTAATTCAGCCACCTTTATAATAACACTCTAGATATGGCTTTCAGCAATATCAGCTCTGTTATTTGCCCAGTCTTTCTTCCACAGAGTGGCTGGTGGGTTTGAACTGCCAGCCTTCTGGTTAGCAGTCCAATGCCTTAGGCACTATGCCACCAGAGCTCCACGTATATACATATATGTATATACAGATAGAGAAATTTATCTTGAAATTTCTTGAAAATGGCTTGCACAGTTATAAAGGCTGGCAAGTCCCAAGTTCCTGGATTAAATGTCAAACTGGAGGCTTTTCCTGACTCATGCAACTGCAGGGGGTGACAAGCTCAAATTGGCAACAGGCTGTTGACTTTGGCAGATGATGAATCCAAGATCATCAGGCAAAATGGTGGATTGTTGGCTCACAGGACAGTTGTAGGCAGCAGGACAGAATCCAGATCCACAGAAGGTTCCCGAATTTTCTTGGACATCCATTTATATATTGGAAGCAATCCATACCCCTAAAGAAACTTCCTTTCAACTGACTGGCTACTCAAAGCACACATATCAGATCTCATCATGGGAACAACCACATCACAACTGCTTAAACCACTCAGAGTCATGGTCCAGCCAAGCTGACACACAACCCCAACTATCACACCTACCCTCAGGAGTTTACTCCCTAGAAGTTACTAACTAGAATAGAAAAAGTACCACGAGGAAGCATAAAAATGTTAAGGAAATTCAGAATAATAAAGAGATTTTAACTACAGGAATCAGACAATCCCAAGATTTTGAGACTCAGTGATGCAGAGATTGTTGGCAATATCACTACATTGAAAAAAGAAATAGGTTTATATACAGAAAAGCAGAGTTTAGTAATGTAAAATAAATCTTTAAAAAGCAGAGTTATGAAAGGTTAGAAAAAGATGCTTACCTAATGATGTTGTTGGTTCAAAGGAGGATTTCTTTTTAATTAAATATATATCAGATGACACACACACACACACATACATTCAGTAAAGAATAGGTACATTGGTATAAAAGTACATACAGATATATTAAAAATAGAGAAGTCTTAAGTATGCTTGATGAGTAAAGGAAAAGATCTTTTGAGAAAGACATAAGATGTTATAATAACTACTGGAGAAGGTGAGGAGCAGGTAACAAAAGATGGACCGACCAATGAAACAAGCAAATAGTGCTGACATTAAAGAAGAGAGCTAATTCCTTTTTTACTAAAACTGAAGAAATCTCAACACTAAGAAATTGAGATGAATAGACGAGATTGTAAGAAACCTCACTCTGGATGGCGCCAACATATTCAATATGAGAACCACGAGGCAAGGTTATCCATAGACTGAAAAGGAGCAGAGGTAGGATTCAAAGTTTACCAAATATAAAAAAAAAAAGATTTAAATCAATTCCCTGACATCTTCCTTCCAGAGGTGAAATCAGAGACAGGGGAAAAAAACACCTGGTAAGGAAATTAATTATGCATAACCTTAATTTTGAAAAGTGACAAATTGTTCCCACTGATGAGAAATAATTGTGGTTTTTTTTTTTTTTTTTTTACAAGCTATCAACTTCATTCTTCTAAAACTACAGGCAAATTTTTTTTTAAGCTGAAATGATTTATCAATATGATATGGTGTGCTAGCTCTTAAAAATGTGAGACCAACACATGTTGAAGATGTTAATCAAACATCGATTTCCAAAAATATCTACTTTATTGTTGTAATTTGTTTTAGCTGTTGGGTTTTTATAATTTTTTCAAGCAACAATATTGAGATGTTCTTTTTTTTTTCTGATTTCTAAAATTCACATTTTAAAGTTGTTTTAAAAGTATATTCTTATTCAAGTAATAGACATTCTTTGTTTTGCTCTGCCACCAAGAAAATTAATAATGCAACCATTTTCAATAAAAGCGTTATCCCACCTGGTGCTATTAATTGGTGAATACTTGATGTTCGGGTGACAGCTGTGCTTCGTGACTCCAGATTTGAACTTTCTCCTTTCTTATTACTTTCTGGAGAAGGATCTCGTTGGCTGATTTTAGAACTGGTCACAGTTGTTTTGTTATGACAAATTGTCAATGACTGAGTTTGACCAATGCTTTTTGGTGGACCATTTTGTGAGCTAGATAATACACCCAACTTCTGGCTGCGTAATGTTAAATTCTGAACCTAAGAATCACAGAACAGAAAATAAAGATGAAAACAGGTGGTTTCAAACAATGTGGTAATCATTTCCATTATAACTATGGCAACACATTTATATTCTGCTTTTCATACATGAAACTCCAAGCACTTGAAACAACTGGTTAACTCTGAAGGAAAAGGGGAGTTGTTATTTTAAGTAGCCACATCTTAAGTGAAAATTTTTCACAAAGATATTAAGAGAAAGAAAAAAAACATGAAGAGCTATATGCAAACAGAATGTGTATTATAACTGAACTACATATATGAGGAAATTACTCTGCAGCATTCTCCATTTTAATGTTACCAGTTCTAACTGTAGAGATTATAAAGGAACACTCATCTTTTAAGTAAAGAGAATTAATTCATCAAATCACCCATCCTACTGTGATTGGGATTATTAAAGTAATCTTGCTAAACACTTTTTTTTAAAGTTAAACATTGTTGCTGTTGTTAGTGAACACTCACTTATCTATTGAAGACTAGATCTCATGAACTGCAAAGACTGTGCATGCCCTTGAAACGGGTTTGCGATGGTTCCTTCTGTCTACACCTGGGGCTATAATAAAAATACTGGTAGTCTGGATGGTAGCAAGGACCATGCCAACTACTCTCACTTGAAATTTATAACATTTTTAAGCAACAAAGCAGAAAATGCTTCTCCAATAACTGCTTGACTAACTGTCTATCTGAAATGAATGTGAAGGAGCCTTGGTGGCACAGTGGTTAAAGCGCTCAGCTGCAAACTGAAAGGTCAGCGGTTCAAACCCACCAGCTGCTCCAAGGGAGAAAGAAATGGCAATCTGCTTCCATAAAGATATACAGTCTTGGAAACCCTATGGGGCAGTTCTACTCTGTTCTATAGGTTCTCTCTAAGTCAGAATCCACTCAATGGCGATGGACTTGGTTTTGTTTGGAATGAATGCATCAAATACATTTTTGCTAGCACTGGCCCTGGGTAGGAAATTGAGATAAAAGAGATTATAAGGTAACAAAGCAAATGATATATTACTGCTCTGTAAATGTTCTTCAGTTTCATGTGTATTCTGTCTCTACAACTACATCATTACTGATGTTGAAAGACTATATCTTCTCTTTCCAATTATGAAATGCAGTGCTTACCCAATACTCAAACCAAAACCAAACTCACTGCTATGGAGTTGATTATGACTCACAGCAACCCCCACTGAGTTTCCATGGCTGTAAATCTTTATGCAAGTAGACTGCCTCATCTTCCGTCCATGGAGCAGCTGGTGGATTTGAACAGCTGACCTTATGGTTAGCAGCCAAATGCCTTATCCACTATGCCACTACAGCTCCTTCAGCCAATACTGCTACTACTAAATAAATGCCCATTTCAAGTCAGTGAAGGTATTAATTAATACCAGTCTAAGCTACTGAAATAATTTTCTAAGTGAGACCACAGGAAGTATCTTCTCTGATTTTTCTCAAATACTTAATAGCAATGTAAACATAAATGAACAAATAACATTCAAACACAATGTTGAATTCAAATCATCGTGTTGTTGTTGTTGTTGTTATGTGCCATCGAGTAAGATCCGACTCATAGCGACCCCTCCTTGGGTTGCCGAGACATATCACTACAGAAGTAGAGTGCCCCATCTTCCTTCCGAGGAGTGGCTGGTTTTTGAACCACCAGCCTTCTGGTTAGCAGTCAAGTGCCTTAGGCACTATGCTACCAGAGCCCCTTCAAATCATTACAAAAATAAAATACAATGAAATCTAGAATTATCAGACTGCCACTCAAAGCCCTGAACAATCTAGGTCCAAACCACTTCAAGTCCCATTTTCTATCACCTCAATCCACAATTATCATATTCTAGCCAAACTGTACTGCTCACATATCTTCCACTTCCTTCACCGATGCCCTTGCTCAAGCTCCTCTTACCTAAAATGTCACTTTTCCTCAATGCGCCTGAAGTCCAAACCATTCTTAGTTAAAATCCTACTCATCCCTTCCCAAAGTTGCTGGATAAAGAGAATTTCTCCCTCTCCTCTACATTTTTCTCACAGAATTTGATTTGCATCAGCCCACAGCACTGACAAATGTCTAGTTTGTTTTAGAATTGTTGTTGTTGTTATGTGCCATAGAATTACTAATGTATAGTTCTGTTAAAGGATCTCTGGTGGTGCAGTGAGTAAGGCATTTTGGCTGTTACCAGAAGGCTGGCAGGTCAAACCCTGATCCATGGGAAGAATATGAAGCATTCTGCTTCCATAAAGATTTGCAGCCTTGGAAACCCTGTGGGGTCACAATGAGTCAGAATCGACTCAGTGGCAGTGGGTGTGGTTTGGTTTGGGTGTCTGTTAATAATGAGTCTCCAGCTCGCAGGCTTTCATCTCTGACATTCATTTTTGTCTTCCCTGCAGCCCAGTGCTGCAGACATAATAGAAGTTCCACAAGTCTGCAGAATTCTCCTATATCCAATTCTGGATTATATATTGCATGGCTATTGTTTTGGTAAGAATTTAATTCTATATGATTTCCTTAAGCCAACATTAAAATACCCCATTTAGCATTTACCCCAATTTACTCATATTTATCAAATAAATCTCAGCAAATACCTGGTGGAGACACATTAAAATCTCCCAGGAAGCTAAGGAAAGATATAAAATTTAACATTTGATACAAATGATCTGTAAAGTGAACTACAGAATGATGATGACCAGAGACTGAATATTATCTGAAAAACCTGAAAACTTTTTTTCAAATGAAAAGCATACTCATTTAACACAATAATTTTTCTCTTATTTTCTGGAATTCTGAAAGAAATGTATGTATGTACACTTAATATACCAAAACCAAACTCACTGCCATCAAGTCAATTCCAACTCATAGAGACCTCCACTGGGTTTCTAAGGCTGCAAATCTTTATGTAGCAGACTGTCTCATCTTTCTTCTGCAGAGCAGCTGGTGGGTCTGAACCACTGACCTTTTGATTAGCAGCTGGTCACCTTAACCACTTTACTGCCAGTGCTCCTTATACTTAATGTATGCGCTATACATACTATATAGGTGCTCTGGTAGTGCAGTAGTTATAAGCACTTGGCGGCTAACCAGAAGGTCAGCAGTCCAACCCACCAGCAGCTCCTCAGGAGAAAGATGAGGCAATCTGCTTCCATAAAGATTTATATCCTTGAAAACTCTGTGGGGTTAATTCTACTCTCTCAGTAGTCAGAATTAATTCAGTGGCAATGGGTGTTGGTTTCATATACTATATGCTGTATAACAAAGTATATATTACTTATATATAAATTTTAAAATATGGCCATAATGTCTATGGTTACTTTGGCTTAAATATGTATAACAAAGTTCAAAAATGTCAACTATACTGCTAAAGTGTATTACAAAGCTAATTTAGGCATTACTGCAAGGACCACGTTTTCAGATTTCCTTGACAGAATTTTACTTTTGAGGAGAGAGAACCCAAACTTTCTAAGATAAAGAATATTAGGGCACTCTAATATCCAACTTTCGTCCTATAGGTACATCTGAATATTCCCTAGGATAGAATTATGAAAACTTTCTTTTGAAAAAGTCTGTGTTTAGCATGAGGTATTTTTCCCAATATCACATCTTACATTTTATAGTGGTTCCCCAACCAAAACAGTCTCACATAAATTATTCAACTTCAAACTAACAAATACAATGTGAACTATCATAGCATCCCTTCTTTGCAGATGAGGAAACAGAAAGTCAATATGACATTGAAGGCAGTAGAGCTGAGTTTCTAGCTCCAAACTCCAAAGAAGTGTTTTCTCCCTCAATTCTAATAGCCTTTGTCAGATAGCCTTGTAAGAGTTCTTATTCTTCTACAGACATACTTTTGTCCTATGATATCTTTCTGAAAATCAGATTATTTTGCAGGTGGGGGAAGAGACAGATTTTAAAATAGTAAATATGGGTAGGATATTCCGAAGTTCTCATTTTTTTTAAGTATGCTATAACAATTTTTTAATACTGAGGAATAATTAACTTATAATATGATGACGTCAGTAACTTAATTATTAAAACTAAACTTAAAATTTGGCATTTCTTATTATAAATGAATTAATTTTTTAAAAAACTACAAATGTAATTTTAAAAATCAGCAAAGTGAAGGAGAAATTTTTCAAAACTAACCATCCTGAACTTGAGGGAAGTGTAGAAGGTAGAAATACAGGTGTCAGCATCACCTACCACTGCAAATCTCATTCACTGACATTTCAAATACACAGCAAAGAACAACAATTTTCAGAGAGAAAAGGTCAATCTACTCCCCAGTTCTTCAAAAGTCCATCTTTGAATTAAGTCAGTTCATCAGGGAGCCACATACCAGACTCAACCAATCTGATCCTGAAGAGATACTTTTATAAGCTGATTATGCTCACAGTAAAGATGTTACTAAAGACTGTGTAAGATGTTTTCTCCATGAAAAGCCAGAAGACAAACTGTGCTCTAGAGAGCATGTTAGAAATATTTGTTTTCTTCCTAAGCAATAGATTTGTTTTACCTTCCAAAGAAAAAACAAACTCACTGCCATCATGTCATTTCTGACTCATAGTGACCCCCACTGGGTTTCTGAGGCTGTAAATCTTTACAGAAGTAGATTGCCCAGTCTTCCTTCCATGGAGCAGCTGGTGGGTTTGAACTGCTGATGTTCCCAGTTAGCAGTCAAATTCCTTATCCACTATACCACTAGAGCTCTTCTGTTTTACCTTGGAGACTGTAACTTCTTCAAGTAGTTGTGTTTCTCTCTTCACTATTATTAGCTACTTGAGAACTTAAACTGAATTTGTGATCTTCCTTCACCCAAAGTATAACAAAAATAGGAATTAATACCATGTAATATCTTTTACATGCCAGGCACTGTGCAAATAAGCATTTTCTGATTGCTTATATCAACTCTGAGCTATTACTTCCAATTCACTGTACAGAAACTGAGGCTTAACCGTGGTAATATTAATAACAGCTAGTATTTAATAAGTGCTATATTTCAGCCATTGTTCTGTTTTATATTTATTGATACATTTAAATCTTCTTAATCTTATGAAGTCAGCAGTAATTATTCCTGTTTCATACCTGGTGAAACATTTATAAAGAGGCCTGTCCATATGCCAGTTACATCTTCAACTAACGTAAGAGGTTAGGACATAAAGAAAGTAAATGATAGAGGAAGTATGAAAACCCAGAGAGTCTGAATCTAGAGTTCATACTCTTAAACACTACGGTATACTATGGCCTTGCCAAAATCTATCAGCTGGCAATTTGTGTTGCTGAAATCAAAATTCTAACCCAGTTCTGCTTTATCCCAATGCTACGTTCTTAAGCACTATGTGATAATGTCTTCCTAGCCCCCTTAAGGAGCTCTGATGGCATAGTGTTTAAAGTATTTGACTACTAACCAAAAGGTCAGCAGTTTGAACCGACCAGCCCCGCTGCAGCAGGAAGATGAGACAGTCTGATTCCATAAAGACTTACAGCCTTGGAAACCCCATGGGGTAGTTCGACTCTGTTGCACAGGGTTGCTCTGAGTCAGAATCAACTTGATGGCAGTGGGTTTGGTTTTCTTTGGTTTATTGCCCCCTTTGCAAAATAAGGGAGCTCTGTTAGTATAGTGCCTAAGGCATCTCACTGCTAACCAAAAGGCTGACGGTTCAAACCCACCAGCCACTTCTCGGAAGCAAAACTGGATGATCTACTTCCACGTGACACCACCTTGGAAACCCAAGGATGGGTCGCTATAAGTCGGATCTAACTCGATGGCAATGAGTTTGGTTTTTATTTTTTTTCTGCAAAATAAATACTACTGAGTGCCTGTAATGTTCTAGATACCAAGCATCCTTATTATTCATCTTTCTATTTACCCTAAAAGTAAGAAATCTCTGCCCCTCCTAAAGTCACAAACAGAGTCTATGTTTCCTTCTAGAAGCTTTACAGTTTTGGCTTTTATCTTTAGGTCTACATTCCACTTCTAGTTTATTTCTGTAAATGGCATGAAGAGGAGTTCAGGTTTATTTTTCCACAAACCCAAAGAAAGTAATATTCTACTCAATTTTTAAAATTTTTAATTTACCCAATTTAATTCATTTTTTTAACTTTTTGACAGTTACTACGTAACTGCTTACAAAGGAATCTACACAAAAAAATACATCTCACATAACAAGAGAAATTATTCTGCTTTACTATAAAACTAAATATGCAATATCATTAGCAAAAATTCTCATTAACCTTTAATAATGTCAATAACTTAGATATCTATGCCTAATGATGCTATTATTTCTATAAAACAAAAAGCACTTTCTTAAAGTTCTATGTTTTACTAAATTTCAATCTGAAATGTATGACACAGCACTGAAACCGTGTACATGTTCATTTTTATCCTGAAGATCCAGACCTCCAGTACCTCATTATGAAGCTAGACAAGCTCACCTGAGTAGCTGCAGACTGACAGGAAGATGACGATGACGACGAGACAACAGGAATGTCAGACTGTACAGCAGCCACAGTGGTAGCGGGTGTGAAAATCAGCTGTACAGACAGAAAACCAAAAAATACCCTAAGACAAAAGAAAACGTTCCACACACAATGTATAGCAGGCAAGAAAGACTGAAATTTGTGACAGAAAGACAATGCAGTTTAGGATTTTCTCCTAATAAGCAAAAGGCTTTATACAGGACAAAGAGAAGTTTCTGATAATAGAAAACTAAAAAATCATTTTTGAAACAGCTTGTGATTCTAATGAGTAGGAAAATAAATCAGCACTCAAGAGAGAAAATACATTTGGTAATATAAAATCCTCAGAACAAATTTTGCCCCAAATAAGCTATTAAACTTTGCCCAGGCCAAAACTACTATGGCAGGGTTCCTTGAATGGAAAGTTAAATGGACATCTATAGCCACTATTCCTGGACACAAATTAAATTTCAGTGAGAAACATGAAAAGAAACGCCAGAAGTCTTTTCAGTCCTCTTTACCACAAAAGATAACTATGTCACATACTACATAACAATATTTCATTCAGCTACATCTAGAGGACAAACTCAGGTTACTCTTGATTTTAAAACAATTTGTAAAGAAATACTCAATTTAAACGCAAACGCCACACATGTAAAAATTCGACAACAAAACAGCCCGTGAAAATTCACATTAAAAAAAGGAAAAAACATAACTTAATTACTCATCACCCTCTTTTCAAATTTTTTTCCAATACTGAAATAGGATACCATTAATTTTCAAGGCAACACAGTCCACTCAGAGAATATCCTATTTAACTTAGTAAATTATGACAATTGTTTCAAAGAATCCATAAATAATCTATCCCAAAATTGCATTAAGAGTTATTAAGTTCCTCAAGAAGATACACTATTGAAATTAAAATGACCAATTAAAGGATATTTTTATATTTCAGTTCTTTAGTTAATGAATTTAAATAAATTCAACAACAAAATATAACTTTCACAAAAAGGTAATTTTTAAAACAAGTAGCCTGAAAGCGCTAAACATGAAGTTTACAGGAAAGATACTCTATTTAGCTTGAACCATAAGAAACTGCTGATTTTAGAGATAAAACTGGTCAAATGGCAACCAGGATTTGACCTAACTTAAAAGCACATTATTAGCTAAATAAGATCTCATGGAGGAAATAACAAAAATAGAAATATGGTAATGTCTATTCAAAATCTATGAGTAAAAGGTGGGTCATATCACTGTTTCTTGTTAGAAATATGATGGGAAGCTTTCTTTGCAATTTTAAGTGGAAAGTTGAAGATCTAGATATATATTCAGTTTACTGATCAAAGAAAAATGTAAATAAATACTAACAGGGCCAAAGCTTTGTCTAACTTTGTAAACACACAAATAAATGTCAACTAATTTCGACATTCTTTAAAGAAGCTTAAAAGTTAAAATAGAAAATCAATACGTACCCAAAAATTAATAATCAAATTAACATTCTTATATGAATACAAGATCAAGATGAGAACACAAATAAGCTTGCAGATTTGAGATGGGTGGAAGTAACCAAAGCTAAGAAACATCTGGTGAATTATCAGGATATTCAATTCAGATTTCAGGAGATCTCAAGATATAAATTCTAATTTATAATTAACAACCAAATTTTTATTATTTCTAACTGGGATAAAGGTATACAATGATTTTTTTGTATCACTATAAGTACCAATTATAACTATAAAATGTCATCAATTATAAAATGTAACCTAATTTCAGAGATGTTAAAATGTAAGGGAAAAAGTTTTATAATTGAGGAAATTTGACATTTTAAAAAATCTCTCCAATATTAAAGAATCTCTGATAGCTTCCCAACATTGCAAATTACTATTTGATACATCAAGAAGGCCTACCAATTAAAGGTAGAATTTTTCACAACATAAATGTATAAGAACTGAGCATAAAATCTGTTAAACATTAAATATTTTAAATGCCTCTTATTGCATCAAATCAAGAAACATTTTTGATCTCTCTCAAGTCCTTAAACATTGAAAAAATTTGGTAGCTCATATCTTACCATTTGAGCTCGGAGATACATTTGAGCTTGGCTTGCCGTTAGGGTAGGGGAGGTACTCCCTAGTAACATAGTCTGTTGGGTAATACTGCCGCTGGTAGAACTGGAAGCCTGGGAACGGCTTATTAACTGTGCAGGTGTAGGAGAAGTGGAGAGGTTGATCTAAGGAAGAAAAAATATTAGGTCATAGGCTTCCATTTCTTGCTTCTGTGTCACTGAACTTCACCAAGCTGCAGTTAGCCAATCAATGAATATAAACTGTGGCTAAGGAACCAAAAGAGAGACCTTCATCTCTGATAGACCCCCTTATTTCTTTCATCAATTATTTGCACATATGCAAACAATAGAATGTAATCAGGACAATTTTTAAGGATATCCACAATGTGTTTAAATGAAATCCCCAGTATCTTTCTTTAAAATGTCATTTCCACCACATTCTAAAAATCAGAACTAATGTTTCATTATTTTATATTCCACATAATAATCTAAAACATTCAATCAATAGTTTACACTATTTTGTAAATATACTGGCACATTTTGAGGAGTTTCTGAAGTAAACAAATATTAAAACATGGATCTTCTAATCACATATATAGAAACACACATGTAACATATAATTAAAATTCTAACTCAAAAGCTCTTAGGGTAGAAAAAAATACAAGTGCTACTTGTCAAATACATGGAAAAATCCTGAATACTAATTACAAAATCAAATCATAAATACTACTTTAAAGTTTAAAATTGCTCTGAAGAAAATAAAACAGTCTATCTCTAGAACCACAGTCTACCTCTAGAGGGAAACATAAGAAACTGGTAACTGGCTATGTGTGGAAAGGGGAGGGAGGGATGGAGAAGGTGGGGACAGGGCAAAGGGAGACATGTATATCCCTTGTATTCATTTAATTGCACATAACATGAGTGTATTACTCACTGTAAAATAACATTTTTAAAGAGAGAGTAATCTGATCTTAAATCCTTTTTGTGGAAAAAGAAAAAATTAAGAAAGTTCATTAGACTTCTGATTCAGACAACAAGATGGACTAGACTATATGTACACAAACACACTCACTGAAATGCTAGAGTAGTATAAAAAAATTAAGAGTATATTTTAAGCTGAACTCAAAAAGGCAGAAAGAAACGGAAATTCCTAGGTACCAGAAAGAAGAAACTCAAGCCAAAACACCAACATCATCTAGGGAGCTACTGGGCCTGCAGAGACACAAGACATGACTTTGAGCCTATCTCAGGGAAATAGCTAGACTTGAAACCACGATTTAGAGCTAGGATACTTAAAAGAATCACTCAATATGCAAAAAGGGAATGGGGAAAAAGCATCACTCATAGGCGCAGAGAAGCAACAATGAAGCTTGCAGTTCACCTTTTCTGGAGTAGAGGGGAAGAGGGAGACTTCTCTGAGAAATCAAAACCCCAGACTTGAGCTAGGTGAGGGCACAGGATCCAAATTTACACTGTCTGCATAGTTCCTCAATCCCTCCCAAGATAATAACATTAAAACTACTTAAGGACAATTCTTAAAACTGAATAGTATTTGGAAGAAGCTGAGTGAAGGATACACAGGACCTTTCTGTACTATTTTTATAACTTCCTACGAGTCTATAATTATTTAAAATTTTTTTAAAAATTTTAAATGCAACAGTGTATATAGTTACATAATTCTCTGAATTTATCTCTATCTTTTAAATACATATTTCATAATTCCAGTGATATGCCAGAATTGCTATGCAATCCAGCTTTTACTCCTTCTTGTTGTTGTTGTTATGTGCCGTCGAGTCAAACCCGACTCGTAGTGACCCCTCCTTGGGTTTCTGAGGCAGTATCACTACGGAAGTAGGATTGCCCAACCTTCCTTCCGAGGAGTGGCTGGTGGGTTTGAACCGCCAGCCGTCTGGTTAGCAGGCAAGTGTCTTAGCCACTATGCTACCAGAGCTCCCGCTTTTACTCCTACTCACCACTAAAACCTCATTGTCAGTAGTCACCAATGACCTCTGACTGACAATACAGTGGATTCTTTTCAGACCATTCCTTCTCAGTCTTCTCTACCAGCAACTCTGCCTGGCCTATGCCCAAAATGCTCATGCTCTGTCCTAACACTTTTTTTCTTCTTGAATTCCTAGGTTATCACATCTACTCCCATGGTTTCAAACAATTCAATCCTGATAATTCTCAACCCTTCATTACAAACCCTTATTCTGAGCTCCAGATCCAACGACCTATAGAATACATCTTTCAGGATATCTGTTACCAACTCAAACTCAACATGTTCCAACACCAAACTCATTATCACTCCTACTAAACCAGCTCTTCCTCCTATTTCCTATCTCACAAATGGTACAGGCATCTTCTAAAATCCCCCAATACAGATTATCTGGCAGTCATCCTTGATTCTTCCCTCACCTTTGCCACACATTCAAAATCAGTCATATGCCTTATTGTGTTCTATATTCTTTATTCTTGTCATTTCCATTTTTATTTCTAATTACTTAAGACAAGAGCATGGGCCTATGTCATCATGGCATTTCTAGCTAGATTACTTTAACAGCTACAAATTGATCTTCCTTTATGAAACTTTTTCTACTTCCCAATGATCTTTCCCTGATTTTATTAATATTAATTGCCCATTTAAAAGTCTTCCAGATCTCCCATAAAGGATAAAGTTTAATCTCCCCAGACTACTTCTCTAGCATCACTTCCTGCCACTCCTCCCTACACACACACCCTTCAAAGTACCCAAGTGAAGTTTTTTTGCAGTATCATGATGTCTCAGGCCTCAGTAGCACAGGTAACAATGCTTATAACTGAACAATCCCCCCTACACCCTGTAGTATACTCCATCCTCACCTATACTGTGAACAACCCCTCCTCAAAAGTCATCTACTCTAAGCATTTTTAGGCATCTCACATCCCAAAGTGGAACTGCCTAAATTTTTGCCTACCTCTATCTTCTGGTAGTGTAGTGCCTAAGGCACTTAACTGCTAACCAGAAGGCTAGAGGTTCAAACCCACCAGCCACTCCTTGGAAGGAAGGTTGGGTAATCTACTTCCATAGTGATATTGCCTCGGAAACCCAAGGAGGAGTTGCTATGAGTTGGGTCAGACTCAACAGCACATAACAACAACCACCACAACAACATCTTCTATATACTTTTATCTTTTCTAAACACTAAGCTCTAAGCTCTTTAAGGGCAAAAACCATCTTCACAGATCATCTTCATATATCTGCCATTTATGAAACGCCTTTATTCACTGAAAGTGTATTAAAAGAATGTTGTGTTGTTTTAGGACATACTTACCAGTTTTGGTTTTTTAAAATTTTTACTGTGATTTGAGTGTTACTTCATAGTTTTGATGCAATAATTAAACCCATCAGAAAGAGAATAAATATGAAAAAAAAGAGAGAAAGAAAGAGAAAAATAATTTTGGTACAGACCCTAACAAAACAGAGTGAAAATGCAGAGATAGTGCAGTATTATTAGTTCAACTGTTTTTGATGTGCTACATAATAAATTACTACTACATCCCCAAAAAAACTATTATTCCTTTTCTACACCATACTATATATGCACATTTTGGATAAAGCCTTATCCCAAGGATTAAAACCACTCACACCAGAGTATGTAACTGGGCTCAGTAATAATGTCTTAGCATGTTTTTTAGCCAGTGATTCTTAAAATGAAAGGAAGGAAGGAGAGATAGAGGGAGGAAGAGAGGGAGACAATTCAAGTAAGGATAATCTACACAGACTTTAAACAAAACCATAATAAAAATCTTTTTAAAAAATAGTTGGCTGATCACTGAAATGTCTGAGAATCTCTTTAAGGAAGTAGAACAAAGTACAAACAAATGTGTGCAATATGTCTTTTTACACAAGTTGTATTAAAGAAAAAAAAAAAGGAAGTAAGAAAACTAAATAGTAACTTCCTGACCACCTGTATTCCACTTTGTCTAAGTTATGAGATCAAAGAACAAGTATCATGTCTACTTTTAGTTTCATGTAACAAGTAACATCTCAGGCAAGGTCTACTAATAAATGCCCAACTTAGTATGGGCCAATAAATCAGTAGCCATCTCTACAAGAAATTCATCTCCCCTGCTGGCCTGACTAAAACAATGCCCCTTCCTTTCTATAACAGATAAGGCTTTTCTTATTTTCTGCTTCACTCCACTTATTTGAACCAGATGACCTTAAAGTTTTCTAATTACTTTCTCCTTCCCAACACCCTTAATTTCTTTTCACTTGAAGCCTTAAGGCCACTCTTGTAATCTTGTATTTCAAGCCCAGTACTCCACAAAGGAACTTACTCACTGGGCCCCATTAGGAAGTTGTCTCCCCACTATCACTAATTCCAGGACTCACTAAAGAAAACCAGATCTACACCATGTGATCCTTAGCCTATACAACTATGAGACGAAAAGAACTAAATAGTGCCTGGCTACCGCTGTCAACCACTTGGAGGGGGATCTATGTAGGAGATTCTGGATAGAGTGGGAGAAAATGTGGAACAAAACTCAAAATCATTTTTAAAAAAAGGACCAGGTTTGCTGGTCTGATAGAGCCTGGTGGAACCACTGAGACTATGGCCCCTAGCTGCCATTCAGGTGTGGAACTCAACCCACACCTGTGGCTTCTATCCAAACAAAAGACAGGCATATGAGGTGAATATTTACGTTAGGTAGATAACTCCTTGGAGAGAACAATCATGGGAGACTAGAAGGGCTGTGTATGTACCGGAAGACAGCTCAGGGGGCAGGAGTGCATGGAGGGAAGGACACAAGGAAGAAGTAACTGTGGGGAGGAAGTGGGAAGAGAGCTGTTGCATTGTGGTAAACTGTAGTCAATGTCATGAGACAAAGTGGTATGTGAACTGCTGTATGGAAAGTGAATTTGCTCTATAAACTTTCACCCAAATCACAATTGGAAAAAAAAAGAAAAGAAAACCAGGTCTGCAGGAAAAGCTACTGAACGCCCAAACACCTCTCAGTGTTCCCTAAAGAAGGTCCCACAGGGTCTCTGGTCTAGAATAGTCCCTACAGTCAAAGCCATTTGCAAGCAGCCTCTGTCTTCTAGCTAATCTGAATCCATCAGGTACATATACACAAAAACACTACACAGATATTAAAAAGATGAGGTATATCTGTATTCA